GTATTAATCGACATTGAGATGTTTTGGTATTCTTTCTCTAACATTGATGTAAGTGTTTTTTCTTTATTAGCAGATTCTTCTAATAGGTCCAGTTCTAATAAAGAATCTGATACTGTTGCTTTGTTCACTAGAGTAAGATGTTCTTTGTCTGGTAGTTCAGTGGTTGAGTTGTGCACAGCTATCATCATGCTCGTGCCAGCTTCTACCGAGTTTGGTGATAGAGATGGTATAATTTCACAGTCAGTTGTGTCCTTTCCTGCGTTTGGTTTTTCCTCATTATTATTAAGCTTTGTTAAAATTAAGCCAAGTAAGGTAAACTGTGGCTCCTTATTTTTTCTTACAGATTCTTTGTATTCTTTGTAGTGTTGATTAAGCTTTATTGCTTCTTTTTGTTAGTCATAATCTTTTTTTAGATGTCCAGGTTTGTCGCAGAAATAACATAACTTTAGTGCCTCTTTCCATTCCATTGTTACCTTCTGATCTGAGATGCAGACAAATCTGGGAATTCTTTCTTGGAGATTTGTATCATTTGTTATTTCAACTGTTATCAGCCACTGGTCTGTTAGGATTGGGATACCCTCATATAATAGCGGTTAAATTAAGGTGATATCCCCTATATACTTGAACACTTCTCTATCTCCTCTGAGATAATTTTTTTTTTTATTATAGGCACATTATGCAACTTTATTGTAAGGTAAGAATTTCTTGATCATGTGAAAATATAACCAACAAGAGTTTGATTGAATATTTCAATACCTTTTTCTGAGTATTTTTCCATTGTGCTTTCATCACAGAAAATTAATTCCAGGTGTGTGCAAGTGCCTTTTACGAAGTGTGGTTTCGCACCTATCAAGTCTGGTCCCAATTTACTATACAGTGTAAAAATGATGTCATTGATTGAAATGTCTTTAAGGTTGTGAATCTCAAAAATTAGAGCATTGGTATTTTATGTGCTTATAATTTTGTGAGGTGAGAAAGTAGAAAATGTAGCCTGTCCTCTTTTTAGTCTTGTGAAGAGACTGGACCACTGTTTGGGCTGTTGGGTTGAGGTGGTTTCATTCTTTTCAGCTAGATTAGGTTGGGCAGCACTATTATTGTAATTGTGAACCTGGTGATCAGGTGATTGATTATCTCCCTTATCTGCTAGGTTTTCCCTAAGATCTTCTGTGTAAATATTCGTGGAATTTTCCAAAGTGTTGTTATTGGTGTTGTCAGTTGTCTCTTCAGAAGAAGATGAAATTTCTGTGGCCTGTTCGTTTTCCATCACTTTAGCCTAGCTTTTGTTGAGTTTCTCATTTTGTTCTCTTTGAGGTACTTTGCCTTTTGTGCTTAGCACCATTGTGTTTGTTGATTTGCTAACTTTTCCCATCTTTTTCTTTTTGGCTTCTGGTCCACACATGTTGCATACATTAAAGCCTCTCTCTGATTTACGTTTTGTGAAACAAGGGCTAAAGCCCTTGTCTTATGTGTTTTGAGCTCTGGGTTGCTGTTTGACACGAAAATCTTCTTTTACTGCACCATCTGTGTCTGTACTGGACAGAGTAACTTTGATCCTTCTTTTTCATGAGATATTTTAATTTAAATTGAATATGTTATTTGCTTAAATTTAATTGTATTTTTTAAATTAATCATATTTTACAATTAAATATTTATATATCTTTTGAAACTAAAATATAATTATTTGTCAAAATTAATCTAAATTTCAAATTAAATATATTAATTGCTCAAATTTGATTAAATTTTTTAAAATTAATCATATTTTATAATTAAACAATTATATTTCTTTTGAAATTAAAATATAATTATTTGCTGAAATTAATCATAAATTTTATGTTATTTGCTTGAATTTAAGCGAATTTTTAAAATTAATCTTTTATAATTAAACAATTGTAATTATTTAGTTTAATAGTATAATTTGCTTTAAAATTTTATAATATGAAGTTTAAAAAAATCAATTATATAAATATAGTTATTGCTACAAAGTTATTGTTAAAAAGAATTTTATTAATAAATTCGCATTTACTATAATTAAATCTTCAAAGCATAAAGAGCTTATAATTATAAATTATATCTAATTTGTTAATTATATTATTTTTAATCTATCAACATACTTATACTTAATTCGCTATCTATATCAATCTTAATTTACCAGCCATGCTATATACTTAATTCACAACTAAGTTATATACTTAATTTACTAACCAAGTTGCATATCTAGTTAGCTATCAAATTATCTTCAATTTACTAATTAAGCTATATATCTAATTGCTATAAACTTTTAATTTACTATCAAAGTTATTCTTAAATCAAATATAAACTATTTTTAAATTGCATTATTACAATTATATTATATTATTTTCTAATCAAACTGCTAATATTAAGAATAAAAGATGTATATATTGTAATAAAGTAAAGGCTATTAGTGAATTTATTAGGCTGTATAGTAGTAAAATGAAAGAATTTTCTACTTGTAATATCTGTACAAATATGAGAAAAGAAAAAAGATTAGTAAATAGTGATAAAGAAAAGCATATTTGAAAATTTTAAATAAAGCTAATAAAAATTATAATAATATTAAAGAGATGATTATTGATAATAAGAATGAATCTTTTATAATTTTTCTAACCTTAAAAGCATTGTTGTTAACTGCTTTACAAATAATAAAGAAATATATTTTTTAGAAATTTTTAAATTAGAAAGTGAATTAGTTAATGAAATAATAATAAAGAGGCAAAATATTGCAATATAGTTTTATCTTTTTTTTAACTATTAAAGAAGAATTTTGCTATTATTAAAAATATACAAGATTTATTCTCATAAAAAAAACAATTAATTTAGTAGCAAATTAACAATATATTTTAATTATATAAAAAAAAAAAACAAAAGCATAAAAAATCAAATAATCAACTAATTAAATAAATAAATAAGACAAGAAATGCAATAAATTAATATTTTTGTAATAGAATTATTAAACTTATTATTAATATTAATTAGTATATAGCAAATATAAATATTAAATATTTAGTAGCTTATAAATATTCTAATTATTGAGAAAATAATTTATTGCAAGATACAACAACCTGGATATTTAGAAATATAAATAGATACTTTTAAAAAATTGAATTTTATAGAAAATTCTCTAATGAAAAGCTTATTAATCCAAAAGTCAATACTTATTATCAAGTATACTATTAAGTTACAAAATTTACAAAACAACAAATATATCAAACTAACTTTTTTTAGCATATAATTTTTAGAACAAAATAAGCATATAAATCTGTTTTTTATTTTAAAAATAAATTATCCAGATATTAGAGTTTATCACTTTATTCTTTTATTAAATATTAAATAATTTCAGTGAAATTCTAATTGATTTGATATTTAAAACCAATCAAGAAAAATTTAAACTCTTTTCTATTATAAATAACCATGGTAAATATTGTATTCTACTTGTATATCTATATATTTATGCCTTTGCAACACAAAAAAAAGTTATTAAGATTTAAATAATAATATTAATATATAAGTAAAAGCATTAGAAAAATTTTTCTCTGCACTAAAAGTTACTGGAATCTTACTTGCTTTTATTCTTTTAGACAAAAACTTTGGTAAAATATTAGCTATAAAAAAAATTTAGAAAAAAAGTGCAAGTAACCAAATTTGTTCATAGCATATAAAACATGCTATTGAATAAAAATTAAAAAAAAAAAAACACAAAATAAGCCAATATACATTTCAAGTAGCGGCTAATACTAAAAATATTTTTAAATTTATTGATGAATCTTGGATATCTAGTAAACAAAAAAATATTCTGTACTCTAAAAAAATATAGATAAGATCTTAAAAATAATTAAAAGACAAGAAATATTTCTTATCTTAACTTAAATTTATAAGTTTAAGAAAAATATATAATTATTGCAGAAATAAAAATCTTTTTATCTGTAGAAGTACCTTTCAATTAATTGGTTAGAGTTCCTATCTAGTATTTATTTATCTATTTATCTATTGGATATCCAAATCTGAATTTATTTAGATATCTGTTTTACTATTGATATCTTGATAATTATCTGAATATTTGTCAGATTATCTAAATATTCAGATATGGATAAATAGATAATGGATTTATCCAGATATGGATAAATAAATAATGGATTTATCCAGATTGGACCTCTAAATTGGTATAAAAAAACTTATTAAAATCTTTTTGCTTAAGCCTTCTATTCTAAAGTATTGCTATTAGCAAGAACTACAATACAAGTTAAATTATATTTATATATTGTAAAACATAATTATAAACATAATTATAGTTAATATAAATATTAACAAAAGAATTAATTACTAATAAGATTAATGATTAGTATAAATTTAATAATAACCATGTCTTTCTATTATGGTGGGAAATATTTAAGAGTAAATAGAAAGCTGCTTTAGAAAAAGAAATTAATTTAAAAACAAATTATTATATGAATATAAATTAGTAGATTTGTTTATATTCTGCTTAAATAAAAAGTAATTATATGTTATATAAATATCTTGTAAAAAATTATATAGAAAAATATTCAAACTTCTTCTCTAAATTTATAAATACAAAGAAAGATATAATATATATTTTGGTAAAAAAAATATTTAAAAATTAATTCAGAAAATAACCTTTGGAATAAAACTAATGAAGGATCTTTTGATAAGTTTAATAATATAACAGAAAATATTAGTAAAGAATTATATACTAATAATCAAAATGAAATAATCAAATCTAGAAGAGCAGAAGTTAATAAAGATAAGAAAATGTTTGAAGCTTTATTAACAATTGTTTTAAATAATATTCAAAATGATTCTTTTTATACTACATACCAAAAATTGAAACACTCTCTAATAACCAAAACAATAGCTTGTCAAGAAGCTTTACAAGCTAGAAATTAGCAAAGAACTTAGACTCCCCATGTAATTCTAAACTTGCCTTTTGGTTATAGTAAAGTCTTTATATTTGAAGTTAAAAGTAAAAGAGATTAATAAATATTGTAAATATAAATTGCAAAAAAATATAATAAACTTTGAATTACTTACTAGATAATGTATCAATTAAATATTTAGTGTATAAAATCATTATAAATATAAATAAATGTATTTAGTTTTTTAAATTATTATTAAAATGTTTCTTTAGTTAAAAGTTTTTTAAAATATTTTAATTAGGGTTTCAATTATAGTAAAAGTTTTGATTGATTACAGAATTAGAGATTATAAATAACACTAACTACTAATAATAAAATAGTATGTTGTATATATTTATGTAGTAATAATAATTATCACATACAAATTTTTGTACTAACTAGCTCAGAGATCACAAAACTAACACTTTTTTGTAGCACAACTAAGATACTCCTCAATTACTGATTCTAACTTTAACTTTTTATATAATATAAATAAATTCTTTGTATACTTATTTTATACAAGTCAATTGGATTTTATATAAATTTTTTAAATAAATAATCCTACTCTCATTTACTAATCCTGCACTGATTTTAATTTTTTTACATAATCCAAATCAAATCTTTACTTTCATATTTTCATTGATTTAGATTAGGGTGCGCATTATTTTCAGCAAATAATTGTATAGATTATTTGCAGCTAATCTGGTCAGCACTACCAATATTGTTTGGTAGCTCTATATGCAGGAATTTTAATTTATTTAAGGCGATCGTCAAAATTATTTCGGGTCAACAATCAAAATCTGCATTCCAAAATTATCAGGCCAATAGAATTACGCTGTTTAGCTGCAGTTTCCGCAAATTCCACAAATTCCACAAATTTAGTGAATTCGGAAAATGCACCGAAAATTTACAGAATTTGTGCATTTATATGATTCTGGACAGCCTAATTGGAATTATTTGTTATTATTGGGTTTCAATTAAATTTCTAATCGAATTTTATTTATTATGTATGACAAAAATTAATTGCAATTAGTTTATCGGTAGGCCAGCAACATCTCACCGACTATACCGACTATGCATTTCACCGACAATACGTTTCACCAACCTCTCTTGCATGACTACCAAAATCAGTTAAAATCTGATGCACAGCTAGATCTCGTAATTAAACAGGTTAACGATATTTTTTGTCCACTATACACTGAAATATCGATATTATAAAGATTTAATTATAAAGATAAAAATTTTAATTACACAAAAAAATGACAATCCATGTTTATACTAATTTATTCAGTGAATTTTATTATATAACCTTACACACTTTATAATACGAAATATTTATAAATTTCGAATTTATTAAAATAAAAGTATTTTTGTTTTGTTATAACAAATTTTTGGAAAGCTTTGCTTGGTTCTGATTTTTATGTCATATACCATTTTTTGAAATTAGGTTTAAAGATTTTTTTCAACCATT